TAGAAGAATCATAATTTTATAACCACTGAGAAAGAAACAGGCTGCCAATCCAACTATGTCATCTCATCCATGGAAACCCAACTTCAGAGATGTTCAAATATGAAAAACAAAGCAAAACAAAACAAAACTGTGTCTTAGAATCAATGAAGCACAGCAGATGGAAGAGCACACGGAGAACAAAGGCACTGAGGGCTGGGGAATTTCTGGTGGAGAGAACACAGCCGAGGTCCTAAAAGCCCGTTATCTGCTTACTATTCATCAGTTCAGCAAATCCCTAAGTGGCCCTTCTCCTATTTTTATCCTCTCTCAATCCGTGGGGAGAAGGCATTTCATAGGCTTACTACCTGCTGTGTAAAAGAGAGCTTCCTTTATTCCTAATTCCAAGCTTCAGGGGGTACGCCGGTTTAGCACAGCCCACAGATTTGTGGACTTTGGTCCTTTGCTGGCTGGCTCTGTCTGCAGGTTCAGGTGCAGCTACCAGAACCTCCGCCTGGGCCGCTGGAGGGGGCCTGCAGCTAAGCACCAGCACAGGGACGGGAGGGGCTGGCCTCCTGGAGATGCCCAACAAGCTCTTTTTTTTTCTAGTTACCAGCAGTTGTAATGGGCCGATCTTTCCTTTCTCCTGGAAATGGTCTCTATGGATGCCTAGCGTCCTTTCCCGGGTCGAGAGGCGAGGGTTGAAACGCATCCATGTTCGGACGAGGACGGAACAAAGCACAGCCGGGCGGGCAACGGGAAGAAAGGCGCCCCCACGCTTGGAGTCCAAGCGCACCAGCAGGGGAGACCCGCCGCTGTGCCCCTCAGTGTGTTGCCCTGGAAACCTCATGAGGTAGGAGCCCATGGAAGGCAAGAGAAGTCTGATGGGATGTAATAACAGCTAGAAAGCAGACTTGACCCGTTGGCCTATTATTTCCACTTCAGAAGTATACTTGAAGTAAAAAAAAAAAACCACAAAACTTAATACTCACAAATGTTCTAGAATTAGATAGTGGTTGCACAACTTTGTGAGTACATTAAAAACTACTGAACTGTACATTTTAAAAGGGTAAACTTGCTGTGGCTGGTGTGGGTCAGCAGTTAGAGGCCGGGTCACTGTCACTATACGAGAGAGATGAGCTTAGGTCCACAGCCTTCAGACCTGGGACCTGAAACCCTGCCCCCAGGGCCTCCACATTATGGGAGACCCCACATTTCTTGGTAAAAACAGGGCTTGAAGAACACAAAAAAACTAGAAGCCAGCTGCGATCCCTACCAGTACCTTCTGGAATCACTGAAAATAAAAAGGGGGCTGGGCCAAGGAGCGCGGTCCACTGGTCAGCAGGCCTGGCAGCTGCCCCGAGCTCAGCCTGCGACAGGACGGGAGCCGCACTGCTGAGCGGGCTCCTGGCCCCTTCTGGCACACCAGGCCGGAGGGCAGGACAGCTGGCGTCCCTGGGAGGGTCCTGGCGGCTCGTCCCCGGTGAGAGGCACTGACCGGTCACTCCACCCTGGAAGTGAGCACGCACTGGCCGGGACCCTCCCAGGCCGGGGCTCAGTCCATCAGTGACCGGCGCTCTTGTCGGCAGAGGCTGTCCCAGCGGCCACGCTGGGGCCAGCAGGGTCATCTCCACACGGACGCACGGTGGCCCAGCCGAGGTCACTCCTCGCACGGCCCACAGTGCTGTTTCAGGAGAACCAGGTGCCCGGCCTTTCTGTGACTCTCAGAGGCTCACTGGATGGGGACTCCCCAGGAGGGCACCCCAGATGAGACACAGGGAGCTGGGTACTGAGGGGCTGGCGGGAAGACTGCTGCCTCCTGTCCTCCTCCCATGTCTGTCTCCCTCCCTCTTTCCCTCCCTCCCTCCCTCCTGTCTATGCAGCAGACTTGACGCTGCAGCAAACTTCTCTGGACCAGAGGCTGTGGCAGAAGAGAAAACAACCACTCACACAGTGTGGAGGGAGGGAGCTGGGGAAGCCGCCTCCACCCATTTGGATGGGAGTGAGCGGGGGTGGGGACGTCCAAATGACCTTGCAGCGCACAAGTCCCATTCTCAGGGCCTGCAGCAGCCCAGACCGGAGGAGCCCCTCCTGTTCCAGCACTCACGGTAGCGGTCCAGGCTGCCACTGGGGACCTGATCAGTGGCTCCCTGCAGACTCCCTGCAGGAGGAAGAAGCCCCACGGGCTGGGGCTGGGGGGGTTGGGAGTGGGTGGGTGCAGGGAGAAGCCCCCACACTTTGCCCTTTGGTTTACTGGCCACTCGGTCCCACTACAGCGGGCACTGTGACCTCCAGAGGAGGCAGTCTTTCCTCCTTCCTGCCCCCTGCCCCTAACCTGCGAGAAGGCACGCCTAGGCCGAGTGCTGGACACAGGCCTCCTGGCCACGTGGGGTGGCTGCAGGGCCTGGGCTCCAGAGCAGGCCCCGAGTGGACAGCAAGGATCAGTGCTTGGGGCCCAGGGCTGCACGGGCCACTTCCTGGGATGTGAAGAACACTTGTCCTTCTGGTCCCAGGGGTGTGGGGCTGGAGGGGGTTGGAGAGAGAGAAACCTCACTCCGTTGCCAAAGGACCGGTGTCCCAGGCCCCACTGAGCACAGTAGCAGGAAGCCATCCCTGTTGCGTGTTTACACCTTTCTCAGCCTGAATATGCACCTGGCAGGTAAACAGGCTGCAGGGAGATCCAACCCCCGGGACAGCTGCAGTCTTCCTGGCCACCTCTGGCAAAGACAGTGGGCTAACCAGCAGCCCCTGACTGCACCCTACTGGCTTCCAAGTCCCTCGGGGCTCATAGGGCCCCCCCTGCCTGCCTGCTCTGGGGGTCTTTGCCGCAGGGCTGAAGTGAAGCAGCCTGGTGCTCCGGGCTTGGCAGCACCGAGACCCTCCCTCAGAACCCACACCCTGCAGGCAGAGGGCCTGTGCCTGTCTCACACAGCCTGACCCCGCTCCTGGACCTCGTGCTGTTGCTGTCCAAACCCGGATCCCCCTGCGCCAGCCCGGTCTTACCATCAGACCTCCAGGCCACCTGTCTTCCTGCCTTGTCTTCTGTTTTCCTTTCTCCAAAATCTAAAAGTCCCTTCGCTGCACTTTGCCTAGCCCCTGGCTCCACAGGGATCCTGCGAAGAAACTCTTAAATGAGCTCGGATCCAAGAGGAAGTAAGCGGCAATGGTGCCCACCGGTACCTCCAGACATCACGGCTTTTCCCCAGCTCAGCGTGGGCGCAGGAAGGAGCTGCCCGGAGTGGAGTGGGGGCATCCTGGCATCCTGGCCCTGCCGGTAACCAGGCCAAGCCCAGGCAGAGCCAGGTGCTGGCTCCGGCAGGTGCGGCGGGCTCCCTCCCATTCGGCCTCACGCTCTCCTCACAGGGCTCAGGGTTCGGAGCTCATCTCTGCAGATGAAGCAAGGGCAAGGCCCGGCAATCCCTCGGCCAGGACGGCCAGGACGCCAGGACGCCAGGACGCCAGGACGCCAGGCACACACAGGCACGGGAGGGAGCCCACAGCCCTCGCCCTCGCTGGGGACAGCGGGGAAGTCTGGCCGGGCTGGGGGCATCCCGAGACCCCCGAAGGCTCACTACAGTGGGACCCCTCTTCCACTGTGGGCTCCAGACGGGGAGACCCAGCTCCTTTGAAGGACAGCAGTGCCCTTTGGGCCTGTCTCCCCAAGTTCTGCCTGACTGCCCAACCCACCATGCCTCCTTCCCCCGCCCCCAGGGCACCGCCTGCCTGCATCGTTCATTTTGGAGTTCCTCCGGGTATATTCTCTCCCCCAGGGATCCGTGAGTATCAGGACAGGCTGAGTCTCAGCTCTCTGTAGCCACAGAGCTCCTAGTTCTCAGTACACCTCCGAAGAGAAGGAGAGGAAGCTGGGGAGCGTAACCAAGGGGAAGACAGAGAAAAAGAGAGGGCAGAGAGGAAGAGGCAGACCTCCTAGCCCCCCACCCGGGCCCGAGGGTAGGGACAGGGCCTCAGCCCTCCTGCCCGGGCAGAGCCTGGTGCAGGAGCCCGACTGTCTGCCCAGGACCCAGCCCCACCGCTTCCTGCCGTGTGACCTTGGGCACATCACCAAACCTCATCTGTCAGTGGGGCGAAAATAGGACCCACCTCATTTGGCTCATGGGGGGATTAGGACACAATGAAAATTAGCTGTTACCATTCTGGGTAAGAACCAATGCTTTGAACACAGACAGCCCATGCTCAGAAACGGTGATGAAGTCCCAGAACGGCAGAGCTCAGAGGGGCCTTGGCTGCAGGTGTCTCCACGACCTGTTCCTCTCACAGAGGGGGGAGGACAACAAGGTCACCCAGGTGAAGGCAGAGACGGGCCCAACACCAGGTCTTCTGCCTCGCAGCTCGACAGGCTCCCTCAGCTCCTCTGAGAGGTGCGCCGGGTGCCAGAGGGCGGATGGCCCGGGCCCTGCGATCGGCAGCGACAGGCGGGCTGGACAGGCCAGACGAGGAAGAGCTGGGAGGGGCAGCCCCGCTGGGAGGCCGCTGGTCGGAGTGTCATGCCATACACCAGAAAGGTTGTGGGTTCAATTCCTGGTCAGGGCACGGGAGGGAGGCAACCAACTGATGTTTCTCTCTCTCTCTCTCAAATCATTAAACATATCCTCGGGTGAGGATTTTTAAAAATCTATAAACAACACTGGGAGGGGCAGTGAAGGGAGACCATGAACTGAGGACTAAACTGGGAGGCCAGAAGGTGGGAGGGACGAGGAGAAGCCTTCTGGGCAGAGGCTGCGGCCTGGGCAATGCGGACTGAGGAACCCCGCAGCCCGGCGTCCACGCACTCCCGTGAGCTCGGCGGATCCCAGCGCTGACTGCTAGCCAGCTGTTCGGCGTGGGAGCCAAGTTTACCTACCGAGACCCCACTCCCCGAGGGCAGCCGTGACCCTTCGGGTTTGCCTGCAGGCCCCCTGGGGCTTAGCATGGTCCACACACCGGCACGGGCGGGCACAGGGCGGGCACAGGGCGGGCACAGGGCAGGAGGGGGGCAAGGAGGCGCCAGCGGGACACGCACACACCTTCTGCGTCCACCGTCTCTTTCAGGACGATCTCCACCCGCTCCACGTGGTGCCGGTTCCAGAGGCCGTCCAAGGCCTTGCGGTTCTGGTCTCGGAAAGGCAGGATCTGGGCCACGGCCTGGCGGGAAGGAGACTGGTCGTGCTGCGCGTTCCTCTCAGGACGAAGGCGGACTCCCTGCGAGGAAGGGCCCGGGCCCCCCCCCTCGGACCCCGAGCAGACGCTCCGAGCAACGCCCCTGCAGTTCCGGGCCTCCCAGCCCGGGAAGGACCCCAAAGCTTTTGCGTGACCTCCAGAGGGTTACCAGCTTTTTATTTTGCCAAGAAAGGAAATATTTAATATTATCTATGTTCTGTTACCATCAACTTTTTTTAAAAATCCTCACTGGAGGATACTTTTCCATTTCTCTTCAGATAGACTGGGAGGGGTAGAGAGAGAGAGAGAAACATCGACGTGAGAGGGACACATCGACTGGCTGCCTCCTGCACGACGCCAGCGAGGGCCGGGGACTGAACTGCAACCGAGGTACGGAATCAAACCCGAGACTCCTCGGTCCGTGGGCTGACACTCTAACCGCTGAACCAAACCAGCCAGGGCTATTACCATCAACTTTTAATAACAGAAAGATACCGTAACACCAAAAATGGAGTAAGAAAAGCTTCAAATGGACATTCAGTATATTATGGGTTTTTTTTTTTTCATTTTCCCATAAACAAGTGCAACCTCACCAGCACAGACACTGGTCTGAGGCCCACTCTCTGGGAACATTGCACCTCCACACAGGGAGGAGGCGAAGCCACGCCCAGAGCCCTGGGCTCGCCGCCAGGTCAGCGCCAGCGGACACGGGTGCGCCTCGCTGGCCCTTCTGGGCAGAGATGTCCCACGGGGCTCCGAGGGCACATTCAGTGGACATTCGTCCCCCGGGTCAGCCCCACGCTCGGCCACAGGGCCTAAGAAGCATGGACCTTGCGTCCCTATTCCGTTTTAAGATCTTGTTACTAGCCTTCTGGCTCACAACAGATCTCAGGAAGAAAAAGATACTGAAAACCAGGCAACTGGGTGTGGACTCAGGTGGCTAGTTCTAACTCCCACAGCATGCCCACTGGCAGCCAGGTCCAGAGCCGTGTCGTGGGGCCACCTCTGGAGGGCACGCAGGGCATGCTGAGCGATCAGCGGCTGGGACACGCGGACGAGGGCCACACAGGCCCGCTCGCACTTGCCCTTCCCCCTCTCACCTTCTGCCCACCTACAAAACGACCACAGAGCTCAGAGCTTTGGGTCTAATTCCACAACTGGCGGTACGGCCCTGTCCCCGGGGTTGGCTTGCGGCCCGCCTGCTCCAACCCTGGCAGGCTCACCTGCTTGCCCAGGTAATGGTCCACCCGGTACATCTCCTCCTCCTGGAAAAAGCTCCCCAGTTCTGCGGCCAGTTGCTGGGCGGAGAGGGAGTCATGGCCAAAGGGTTTCTCCAGGACGACCCGCAGCCAGGCCCCTGGGCCGGGACGGCAGCTGCTGTTGATGCTGCGGGCAATGTCTGCGTAGGCAAAGGGCGGCACGGAGAAGTAGAAAATCCGGCCAGCCTCCCGGAGGCCCTCGTGCTGGACCAGGGCCTCGATGTCTCTGCTCAGAGACAGGTAGTCTTCCACTGTCTTCAGCTGGTGGTACTGGCTCAGTCGCTGGAACTGGTCCTTGAGTGCAGCACAGCGACCAGGTGCCACATCCTTGGGACAGGAGAGGGACTCGAAGACCTTGGCCAAGACCTCCTGGCCCTGCTTGGGGTCCGTCAGAGCAGCCCCATGGAAGCTAACACTGCGGCCCTCCCCCGCCTCGTCCAGGTGGAGCTGAAACAGTCCCTGCCACAAGTACTTCTTGGCCAGGTCCCCTGTTGCTCCGAGCAGGACTACGGAGACATGTCCCCGAAGCTCCTGGGCCTGCAGGCAGCCCAGAAGGGCCACGCACATGGCCGCCGTGAGCATGTTCCGAAGGCCGGGGTGCCTGGGAAAGACACACAAGGAACAAGGAAGGATCAGACATGGCTCAGGTGGCGTGATGTGGGGTGAACATGTTGCTAGGCTATCAGACACTTCCTGCCTGGCAAGAAACAATCGCGCGTTTCTCAGAAAAACGTCCCAGCCCCACAGCTTCCTCCTCCCTGCTCGGCAGCTTGCTTCTGTGCCAGGGACCAGTGGGGAGGGAGCCTGCTCTGTGAAGGGGACTATGCCCAGGAAGGTGGCAGGCCACTGCAGGAGCATGGGCAGGTGGCACAAGCCAGGAGGGAGGCTCACAGGGCTGCCAGGGGATTGGAGCTACCCACCGATGACCACGGCCAGTCTCTGCCCTGAGCACAGGTTGCCCGGACCATCGGGGCAGCTCAGGAATGGTGGCAGGCCCTTAGGTGACGGCTGGGACTGTGAGAAGCTGTGATCACCTCCTCTCACCTCTCTCTGCTTCTCCCATGTCCACTGGGCTCTACTGACTCTCAGTCACTGGTCACTGCTCCAGCATCGTGATAAACAAACACAGACTCTCATGGAACCAAATGACTGAGTTTGAATCGCAGCTCAAGCCCTTACCTTGGACAATTATACAACCTCTCTGTACCTCAGTTTCCTCACCTGAATTGGGACATTAGCAGTACCTACATCGTAGGGTTACGGTAAGACTACAACGAGTTAAGGTGCAGGGGACACTGCCTACCACCTGCTAAGCTGTGACTGCGGGGTGTTAACGGAGCAGCGAATGCCGAGCGCTGGCACGTGCCCAACACAGAACTTGGTGCCTGCGCACCGGCTCGCACTGGATGCGGACAAGAGCCCTGGGGACCCGGTGCAGTGGGCACCACCCTCGTCGCCCTTCTGCAGGTCGAACAGCTGTGGCTCAGGAAGGTGAAGGTCCCCAGGTGAGCCCTCCTGAGCGGACCGCATCCTCCGGCCTCCCAGGGTGGGCTCAACATCCTGACTGGCTTTCAGCCTCATCTGAAGCAGTGGACGTGGATGAGAGGCGAGAGGCCTCGGACCCGCCACAAACGCACCAGAGGATCCACCGTCTCTGGCCTTCTGTCCGGCTGAGGCCGGAAGGTTAACGTGCTCCGTTTTACTGCGCGGCTCCCCCATCCTCCAGTGTCCCGCCGAGGCCAGTGCTCTGAGCGAGCGAGGGAGCAAGCAGTCCTGGGCAGCAACTGGGTCTCGGGAACAGATGGGGGAGCGGGCCAGCCTGCGTGCTGACGGAGGAGGCCAGAGGACAGGCTCGCGCTGTTAGGTGGCAGGCATTCCATCTGCTAAAGGGTGGACAGAGCCCTCAGCAGTGAGCTGTCGTCTGGTATGCAGACAGCCGAACTGAGGTTAAAGAGATAACAGGACACGGCGAAGGCCCTACGGCCCCGGCCGGCTGACCTTCCCCTGGGCCGACATCATGCCCTGGGGCAGGGCACTAGGTCTGCCTCCTGACTCAGACCGCTCCTCCACTTCTCCCTTTGTCCCGCCTTCATCTCCTGAGACCCATCTGCGCGATGGCAGCCAAACCAAGTAGAGGGCCCACCCACAGTGCACCACAACCTGCAGGATACCAGGCGTTGCCCTTGTTGGAGCTTTAGCTGGAGGATCAAGGGATCACTCCTGTGGCCTCCAAGCCTTCCTCCTCTGCTCTTCCTTCACCTGCGCTCACCTCCAAATCTAGAGGGGCCACAGGACACTTCTACTTTATTCTCCTGCTTTCCCATCCCTGTCCCTGGCCCTTCAAGCACTTCTTTCTTCAGTTGCAATCAGCCCTGTCCGAAGGGAAGGAAAAGCTGCAAGGTCAGTGCAGGAGACAGGCAGTGAGGAACGTGAGGCCCAGAGAACAGCCTGGAGAAGGGGGAGCAGCCAGCTGGCAAGCTGCATGTCAGAGCTCCTGATGTGAGTGGAGCCAGGGCTCAGGACGTGCCCGGTACGAGCAGAGAAGGCGCTCAAGACCCCAGAGTGCCTGGATGGGCAGGTGAGGGGGTCAAGGGCCAGAACCTCTAGCCCCACCCCAAAAGACTGCAGAGCACTGTGATGGCTGCCCCCTGGCCTGACTCGACTCCCAGCCCTCTGTCATCCTGCTCTGACTCAGAGGTCTGGCTGCAATCCCCCAACCAGCCTGTTGTAGGTTCCTGTTCTCAGGTTAGCCTCCCTCCCCTCTTTGTATGTCCCCAGAACTCCTTTTGACAAGCACAAATCAGAGAGATTACTTATTGCAACAAGGTTGCGAACTCTGGTTGCTCAACAGCAGGGAACAATTCTTCCCTGAACCCGTGTGGGTGGTGTGTGTGTGGGTGTTTGGTTTGGTTTATTGCCATGTTTGTTTCTTTTCAACTTTAACGGTGTTTCTCAGACTTGAACTTGCATCTGAAACTCTTGAGGATCTTTTTTAAATGCAGATTTTGGCAGATTTTGACGCAGAGGGCCAGGGAGGGGCCTGAGATGCGACAGCTGGGCCAGGGAGCACACGTGGAATAGTGAGACTGGAACACAGAGCACCCAGGCCAGAGCCACGGCTCTGATCAGTATCAAAACCCACCCACCTGCCTCCTGCTCCCTTCACCAGGACCACGGACTCCGACTCCGCAGTCCCCGCAGGTCCAAACACAGGTCTTGCCCAACAGCCTCCAGTGGTTCAGATTTGCCCACCCCCCTGCGAAAACTGGTAGCTACCTGCCCAGAGCCCAGCGATGCCCCTGCAGGTTACCAGCAGGCGGAGAGCCCGGCGATGCCCCTGCAGGTCACCAAGCAGGCGGAGAGCTTGGCGATGCCCCTGCTGGTCACCAAGCAGGCGGAGAGCCCGGCGATGCCCCTGCTGGTCACCAAGCAGGCGGAGAGCCCGGCGATGCCCCTGCTGGTCACCAAGCAGGCGGAGAGCCCGGTGATGCCCCTGCAGGTCACCAGCAGGTAGTGTGCCGGGGCTAAAAGCACTGCCTCCGTCGTTCCCCCAAGCGGCCGAGGAGCAGGCTCTGCGAAGACGCCCGTTTTACAGATGAGAACATGGCAGTTGAAGTGAACCATTGAGTCAAGCCCCCGCCTCAGTCCCGTGTGAATGGAGTGTGGCATGTAGACCGGGGGACCTGGGTTCAAGGCCACCTCCTAGCTGCATGACCTCGTTAATTCATCTAGTCAGTTTGGGGCCATGTCTCCTCATCAAACAACAGGGGCAGCAGGTGGCTCAGCCTGCTCCCTGCGGTCTGAGCCCTCCCCGCTGCCAGGCTCTTCCTCCGCCTCCCGAGAGGAGTGGGCTGGGGGAGGGAAGTCTTCTCAAGTCACAGACTCAAAGTTCACTGAAAAGCATGGAGGTGCATTCTGACCGCTGACCCTGCTGTGGTTCTCTTCCATTTTTAATTAACAAACAGGAAAACCCTTCGTGAGAAGTTTGAGAAGCCACAGGACAGGACGGACAGATTTCGGTCTGTGAGCTGGAACGTGGGTGGTTGTTGCCCGGCCCTGCTGCGGAATAACACACACATCACCTTGAACGTGCCTTTTACCCTGGCTGGGCCCTCCTCCCCGGGATGAAGAGACTGAGCCCAAGGTCCGCGACCATAGCTTCCTGCCCCTCAGTCCTCTGCTTTCCAAGGAAAGGAGAGAACTATCTACGACCAGAGAGACACCCACCACCTTTCTGGAAGGGCAGGAAGTGCGCACAGCCCCAGGCCAGCCAGCAGGGCTGTGAAGGAAGCAATTAGCTGGTAACTGAGTGTCATTCAGAGTTAAGACAAAACTCTCTGAAGCTATAAATTAAGTGCGTGGAAGATGCAATTTCATTTACAATTATTATTCCAGGCACTTGCCAGAAACACACTACAGCGCGGTGCAGGCCGGGGGCCTCCTTGGGGACGGGCAGCAGACGGCCTTCCGACGGGCTCACCTTGGCGTCAGGACTGACGGCACAGTCCATGGTCCAGGCACCTTTCACTGCCCCCAACTGCAGACTGAGGGCTCCCTACAGGCATCCTGGGGACTCACCTCTTACAGCACAGCTCTGCTAACATCCGCAATGCTGTGGACACTGGCTGGCCAGCAGGTCTGGGTCAGAATCGGGGTTCCAGTCTTTGTTTCTGCCCAAGCACAGGAGGCAGCAATGGGGCACCCACACAGCCGTGCCTGCCGGGGCCCAGCGCAGCCCCGGCTTGTGCTGGCAGTTTCTGGTAAACCCCGGGAGGAAGCGGCTCTCGTTCTCTATTCCCAACAGCCAAGGGGCGGGAGAGGAGCCGAGAGATAAAGGTCGTGGCTGCTGCCACCCACTCCCTTTCCCAACACGGCACCCCTACCCCGTGCAGTCTACTTTCTGTTTGCCAAGCAGGAAGGAGGGGAGGTTTTCTTCAAACCACAGCTCATGAGTTTGGAATTTCTGAAAGACTGTTAGGAGCTGAACAAGTGAAACTAAAGATCCTTTTCCTCTAAAGTACAAGGGGTTGTGCCGGGTCCCTTTTATAATCGCCATCGCACGTGTCTTTCTGCGTTCCTTCTTATTTGTGGGGGCCCGTCTGTGCTACACATTCTCGCATGTGCAGGTCAAACCCTCAGCAATGGGCCGCCCAAGGCTTGACTGTGGACCAAGTGATGAGATCGGTTCTGGACCCTTTTTCCTAATCTCAGAGAGTCCTTATTCCCATCACCCCTTTAGGTAACAACCTTGGGTCCCAATGACCCAGATGGTGTGCTGTGCCACTTGTTAAACATAGCCATTGTTAACACCAAATTATACACATTTGAAACTAACCCTATTATATTAAAAACATAGGTAATAAATACTCACAACTCATGACTTCCTAATTATTCTGCTACATTTTACTATTATCTATTGCTCTTGACATTATTACATCTATTGTATCCCTAAGGCGAAGATATTCTGTAACGTGTGCTCGAAATTGGCCAGCCAGGAGTGTCTACACAGCAGGTATTGGCAAACACTACAAACCAGGCTCCCCCTCGTACCCCACCCCCTGCAGAGTTGGTTGTTACACATTTACCAGAACACTCGGCCTA